CTAGAGTTAAACACCTTATTATTGCGTTGGCTAACTCAGTGACTTCTCTCTTCTCTGGCTCGGTGGCTAACTCAGTAAGCTCTCTCGTCTCTGCTGGCTCGATGGCTAACTCTGTGAGCTCTCTCGTCTCTGTTGGCTCGGCGTTTCCTCCTTCAACCGTATCGACCTCACCGGATTTTTTCAAAGTAAACCTAACTTAGATTCGGACAAGGCGGAACCCCCTAAGGTTAGAGAAGATCTTCTCACGATTAAAATATCTCCAACATCGATCCTGTGTAGGGTTTATAACGCGTCCAAACGTAACTATTTACAATACTACTCTCGCTTTAATTTCTCCCTTATTACTTGTCTTTTTAATATATTCCTTCAAACAAAAAACAAATTAAACTGGAATTAATAAGTTGTATTTGTAGCTGTAATGAAACATCATGAGTCATGGCTCTATGTTATGCGTTTGACAGTATTTAATTCGGATGATTTTTAACGTTAGTAAATGTTTTCGATTTCTCATTTTTTTTTTCTCGTTTTAATATTTTCAAATTACACAGCTAATTCTCTAGTAGCTAGTTACAACAATTTTAAGAAAATAAATCTTCATCTTGTTGGTCTTGTTCGGAAAACATTTATGGAGTGACAATGGTGTAAATTCACAATTTGATTCAACTTTCGAAATCTGTGTCTCCCGCTGCATATCTTTTACAGTCAAAACTCTAGCCTAACTCTAACCCTAGGCACCTCTACGCACGTAGTACTATTTACATAAACACCATTATTTATTTTATTATTTTTAATTCAAAATATTTTCTCATATTTTCACTCATATTTTAGTCTTGTGGTTATTGATAACTTTTTTATTTATTCGAGAAATGTGAAAACTTAACCTGATTTCGAAGGACCATAATTTTGTTTTTTTTCTTTTGTTCAGTATAAGGTTGCTACGGTTTGATCTTGCGACCTTTTGACCAGACTAATCAATCAATTTTTTTCCTTCTTCTAACAGATTCACAAAGCGGTTTGACCTAGTCTTTAATGACTTTCATTTAAGATGACGGTAAAAAACAAAATTTGACCGTTACAAAGTATTTGAAATAAAAAAAGGGACTATATATTTTGTTACTATATTTTATACGAATATATCACAGCTCGTTATTATTTCGAATATATGTTTTGCTATACTAATAAGGTTTTTGTAGTGTTTTTGAAACAAAGTTAAAAAACTTTAAATCTGTAGCCTTTGTTTCAATTACTAATTTGCCAAAAACGATCGCTTAATTCATTATGTCCGTAGGCCAGGTAAACCACATATTAAGCCCACAAATGTAAGTGTAACTGTTTTATTCGTTAGGAGTATGTTATTTTATTTACATTTTATGTCCCATATAAACTCTTTCTTTTATCAACTCTACCAAATAAATCAAACCTAAATGAAACTTAAGTAAATTGAATCCGAAAGTAACCTGATTAGATGATAAATGAATCAGTATCTTTAATCTTCAATCATTTTGTTCATTTTGGCCCATAAAAACAGAGAAACTCAGAGAAGAATAAAAATTACAAATGTTTACACGAGAGCATGCATTTGGTCTTGGAATTTATATATTTGATTCAAGATTTTCGTAGAAGAAAAGGATCAACAACGGAGTGGATAGAGAAGATGAGCAAGAAAACATAGAGAATCAATGCGACTAAACCGGCAATTAAAGCTCCGGTTATTTGATCGCAGAATCTCGGTACTTGACCGCAAATTGGTAGCCAACCTGCGTTTGCGTTTCCTCTCTTTCCCACTTGTGCTACCGCCACCGCCGCTGATAAGCTTGACGTCAACAACATCGTCACCATCTTCACGGTTGGTTTTTCACATTTACAAAATAAAATTTGGTTAAACACATTTTTATTTATAGAAGATAAGCAATAAATGAAAACATTAGTCAATACAATGCATATTTTCCTAGTCAGTAATTATGCTAACAAATATAAGTAATTATATAGTAGTATAATTAATTTACCAAGTCCAAGACAACCACGAACTTCCACAACAAACTCTCCTTGGGAAGAAACAAAACGAGAAAGCTATAAACGCTCACAATCGCGTTTGCGATCACAAAGTACCTGCCAAACACACAAATGACTACATACATAACGTATCATTACAAATTTACAATACATAATATCTATATTAGTATTAAATCATAATTAAACATACAAAATAGAAACATTAGAAACTTACTTAAACGCGGCCAAGTCGCTATACCGAGCAACTAGGGAGAGGACAAAGAAAGAAGATCTTTCGCGGCTGGTGATCATCGCGATAACCGCTCCTAATGCGGCACAAAATGCCGCAAACCGCAGTATCAACCCACCCAATCTCTGTGTTAGCTTCACCATTAGCTTAGTTTTTTTTTGTTGGGTCTCTAGAGAGTTTAAATTGTGAAATATAGCTATG